TGTTTCTTCATGCGAAACAACTATTGTAAGCAGAAAGCATTTATGAGAAGCATGAAATGAGTGAGTGTTAGCATTAAACAGTAGTCGTGGATGAGGAAATAATAAGCAGTTTGAGCAGAAATTATGCATTTGGAATGTTTCTGGACAGCGCTTAAATGCTATGGGTTAGCAAGGAACAAGGGAGAAAGACGAAGCATGGAGAAGACGAGAGTGTAAATATCTATTTAACTAATCCCGAAAGGTGCATAGTAAAGCGTTTTACCGCAAAAGCAGCTAAATACACGTCTCCCGTTGGCTATTGGTACTCGTTAGGAAGCAAACAACCACTTGGCTTCTCCGGGGAAAATCGCAAAAAAAGGCGGTGGAACTAACCAAAGATGCGCAGATAAAGCTCGATGGGCCTGGCATAACTGGTCTCGATGCGTGAAAATGTCCCCATTAAAAAACTAACATGGAATACCCACACTGATAGCCCAGTAGTCTCGCTATTTTTGGTATTAATCTATTTTGTTCAAAAAATTCTACATCCACTATATTATGAATAGTTTTATTAACCAGTATTTTAAATAAATTTATTCTAAGTCTCCCTCAAGTTTGAATTATTAAATCTTTCATACGGTCTTCCTCGAAAAACAAGTTGCCAGGAGACGCAAATTTGACTCTTCCTTGGACCTATTTTCGGACCGAACTTCCATCCCATAAAAATCAGTGGACGACAAGAAAGATCGATTTTTCAGAGTAGCGATAAAAAGCTATACATTTGCAGGCAGCTTTTGAAATATAAACTGGCAGTATGCTTCTTCTAAGAACCTGTATGAGCCACTATCATAGGAAAGGAAACAAGAGCACTTTTCGGTGTCTAAGAACATCATGTTTGTCTCCACTGGAAGTTTGAAAGTTTTCCATGGAGTCCATGGAACAGTTTTTGTACCCTCTTAGTGTAGAGAATGAAAAATCGTCTCCCTCCTTCTACTCTCCCCTCCGCGATCTCTTGGTGCACCGCTAGCGAGTGAAAAAGAATGCAGATGTGAGTGAGGATGTGTTGCCAAAGAAGATACTTTACAGTTTCGATCGTTTTGCAAATTTCCACGAGTTTTCTAGGGAAAAGCGTAAAGTGATTGTATTAGACGAAATTGACAGTAACAGTTACTGATAGACAAAGATAGCTAAAGTAATAGAAGTGGTCGAAAATGTATATATAGAATTATGACCGCTCAGAACTGTGATCTGTATGACTTTTAGCTCAGAACGTTTTTCGTTTAAAAATTCTTCGCTAAGAATTTTCGTTTCCTACCGTTCAGAAACGCGACTGAAAACGATTTAACATCAGCGCCTAATGATTCGTAAAATTTAGCAAAAATTAAAAGGCGAGTTGCTAAAGTAGAAGAAAATAGGAGACATGCAAGCTCTGAATTGCGAATTCTAAAATATTTTGAATTTCTGCAATCTGAAATGCTCACAGTCGGTAAGGTGCATCAGCGAAGATCGAGAATGGCAGTGCTACACTGCTGTGCATTCAAGTTATTAAAGCTTTACTAGGGTAATTCAGTGGGGAAACCACCGAACCGGCAATCCCTCCAGGAGATGAAAAGAACGTTCGAACTATGGCCAAAGGGTTGGCCGCCAAGCGTTGGTCAAAACAACCATGAAATGGAAAAGAAAAAAATTGGTATGTTTGTCAACTATTATTGATAAGGAAGCGATGGTGAACTAGTTAGTTGTTTTTTTTAAAGAGAACTTATTAGTTCAACAAGCTTTTCTAGTCTTTTTAGGTCACAAGTCACAGTTCTACTACTGTGACTAAGATATGAAGTTCCCAGGGAAGCTGATTTCATTAATTCATTTGATTTTCCTCAAAAATAATTACTGAAACAAGGAAGAATTTATGCGCGAGGCATACAGATAGAAAGAGAGAGACAGATTACGACAACTTTTAGAAAGACTGACACGGTCTTATTCGGTTTCCGGAGCTTCGGCAACTTCTTCAACTCCCTCATCGGCACTTGCATCCTGCAAATGAAAACCGCTTTCAGCAGTTGGATAACAAGAGACATAATTTGCCGCAAATTCTTGTAGAAACCTGATTAAAACTAATGGACCTGATATTGCTGATATTCGGAAACCAAATCGTTCATGTTACTTTCCGCTTCTGTAAATTCCATTTCATCCATACCTTCACCAGTGTACCAGTGCAAGAAAGCTTTTCGTCGAAACATTGCTGAACAAAAGAAAAATCACCTTTCAAGCTCCATCAAGAAACATATTAAATTTAAAGCTTTTCCAAATATTCTACGTCTTGATTAGCTGTAGTTCATACGGTGATTCTCCACGTACGCAGTTGACAACTTTTCCAGTTGCTCTGACCAGTGTTGGTGGGCAACTTCCTATTTTTTTAGAGGCTTTTCGATAAAATAAATTGAGCGACAAAAGAAAAAAAACGGCACACAGGTGTTGGCTTACAATTTTTGAGTTATAAAACGCGCCTGGGCTTGAACTTGAGGTAAATATTCAGGACTGTCTAAAGTTGATCTTAGCTTTTTTCTCGTCACACTCAGCAGGAGGCTTTATTCCCAAAATTTAAAACGTGTTAGCCTTTTGTCTTCACTTTTTTTAACTTTTCTGACCTCTTTTTGGTTTCTTTTTTGCTTTTTTTTGCGGACTTACATAGAGTAGAGAAGACGAGAGATATTAATTTTGGACCTAGGATGTTTCTATGCTGCAACAATGGTATGTTTTGCATAAAACGCCGAAAAGAAAACCTGTGAACTGTTCGGAAACTCGTTTGAAGAGTTCCTGGATGGCAGTGGAATTACCGATAAATGTGGCGGCCATTTTGAGCCCTCGCGGTGGAATATCACAAACAGCTGTCTTCACGTTATTCGGAATCCAGTCCACGAAATATGCAGAATTCTTATTCTGCACATTGAGCATTTGCTCGTCTACATCCTTAAATTGCATCTTTTTAGGCTAATTCTACAAAAAAAGTACAAAAGAATTCATGCGCAATGGTGAACGGCTCTTTGGAGGTGTGTCACCAGGTTTTCTTAAGAATACATCTTTGGCATGAAACAAAGCCAGGTTTTTTGAAGCGGCATCATTAAAAGTTCGTGTAGCCGCTTTCTGTTGAGAAAGTACCTTTGCCAATTTTCTGCAATCAAGTTTCTTTGAAGCGGTGTCTTGGACATATAGAA